GAAGGCTTTCTTATCTCTCCTTGCTATTCTTTGGAACTCTGCATTCAGATGGGTATATCTTTCCTTTTCTCCTTTGCCTTTCACGTCTCTTCTTTTCTCAGCTATTTCTAAGACCTCCTCAGACAACGATTTTGCCTTTTTGCATTTCTTTTTCTTACGGATGGTCTTGATCTCTGCCTCCTGTACAATGCTATGAACCTGCATCCATAGTTTGTCAGGCACTCTATTAGATCTAACCCCTTGAATATATCTGTCACTTCCACTGTATAATCTTAAGGGATTTGATATAGGTCATACCTGAATGGTCCAGTGGTTTTCCCTACTTTCTTCAATTTAAGTCTGAATTTGGCAGTAAGGAGTTCATGATCTGAGCCACAGTCAGCTCCTGGTCTTGTTTTTGTTGACTGTATAGAGCGTCTCCATCTTTGGCTGCAAAGAATATAATCAATCTGATTTTGGTGTTGACCATCTGGTGATATCCATGTGTAGAGTCTTCTCTTGTGTTGTTGGAAGAGGGTGTTTGCTATGACCAATGCATTCTCTTGGCTAAACTCTGTTAGCCTTTGCCCTGCTTCATTCTGTACTCCAAGGCCAAATAGAGGCCCTGGGGTCTCTGTGGGGTCCCTGGGTCCTGGTGCACACAAGATTTAGTTTGAGCCCCCTGAGCGTCTCTGGCAGGTAAGGAGTTTGATTCCTAATGCGATTTTGCCCCCTTCTGTCCTGCTGGGGCCTCTCGTTTGCCCTGGGCGTGGGGTGTCATTTTTTGGTGGGATCCAACATTCTCCTGTCGATGGCTGTTCAGCGGTTAGTTGCAGTTTTGGAGTTCTCACAGGAGGAGATGAACGCACATCCTTCTACTCCACTGTCTTGAACAGCTTTTCATGTCACCAAAAAAAAAAAGTCCTGTCCTTGTGGAAACATTAGTAAAGCAGGCTGAGCCTGAGTTGGGCGGGGGGTGGTCATCAGCCTTTCTCTGCCCTGTGGGGACTGTCACGACCCCTGCTGTGTGCTTCTCCAGGTCTTCATGATCAAGGCTAGCGGGGAGGTGTTTATGAACCAGGTCTACATCCAGCTGCCCGTCTCAGCAGGTGAGGGTGCCCGCCCCGCCCCCACTTCTGACAGTCCTGTCCCTCACGCCCACTGAGATGTGGTCCCCTGTGTCCACAGCCAACGTCACGCTCTTCAGACCTTCCACCTTCTTCATCATTGCCCAGACCCAGCTGGGCCTGCAGCTGGACATCCAGCTGGTGCCCGTCATGCAGGTGTTCATGCGGCTGGAGCCGCAGATCCGAGGGCAGACCTGCGGTAAGAGGGTCACCACCTGGCACCCAAGTCCACCCCCTGGGGCTGGGCATGCAGGGGCCTCACACTGCCCTCCACCCCAGGCCTGTGTGGGAACTTCAACCAGAACCAGGCTGATGACTTCCGGACCATCAGCGGCGTGGTGGAGGGCTCAGCCGCTGCTTTCGCCAACACCTGGAAGACCCAGGCTGCCTGCCCCAACATCAAGAACAGCCTTGAGGACCCCTGCTCCCTCAGCGTGGAGAACGGTGTGTGTCCAGCAGCCCCGGGGCCTGCCTGGTGCCAGGCAGCCTCTGATGGCTCACACCCGGCACTGCTCCACACGGAGGGACTCGGGGTGGAAGGAAGCTGCTCACCTCGAGGGGTCTCCCGCTTGACATGACTGCCCAGCCCCACTGACCAGCCCTCCTCCATCCACAGAGAAGTTCGCTCAGCACTGGTGCTCCCGGCTGACAGACCCCCAGGGCCCATTCGCCCAGTGCCATTCCACCGTGGACCCCAGCGCCTACTACTCGGTAACGCCACCTCCTGGCTCTGACCCTGGGCCTGGGCCACCCTCAGGGTGCCAAGGGCCAGAGCAACAGCATCTGGGCCAGGCTGGTCTCCCTGGCTCTGTCCCCTCCTCCACTCACTCACTCACTCATCCAGTCATTCACAAACTCACTCATTCATTCATTCAGTCAGTCACTCATTCATTCACTCACTCACTCTTTCACTCACTCATTCACTCACTTATTCATTCATTCACTCACTCGTTCACGCATTCATTCACTCACTCACTCATTCAGTCATTCACAAACTCACTCATTCACTCACTCATTCACTCACTCACTTGTTCACTCATTCATTCACTCACTCATTCATTCACTCACTCGTTCATTCACTCATTCACTCACTCACTCGTTCACTCACTCATTCATTCATTCAGTCACTCATTCATTCACTCACTCACTTGTTCATTCATTCACTCACTTATTCATTCACTCATTCACTCATTTATTCACTAACTTATTCATTCATTCACTCATTCATTCACTCACTCATTCAGTCATTAATTACTCAGTTGCTCATTCACTCACCCACCCATTGTGAGATTCCAAGTCCATCATGTCCTCCTGCCCTACACCCAGCCAGGCACTGGGGCAGGGGCTGCTACACGCAGTGAGTGAGTAGCCCGCTGGCCCTGGGGTCAGTGAGAAAGTGGTGTCTGGGGCTGACCACACGGGGCTGGACCGCTGGGTCACAGAGATGAGGGACAGTGATCCTTCCAGCAGCCCCCCATCAGCCCAAGGACGTGACTGCAAGATGGTCTGTATGTGTTCTTCTGAGGGAGGGGAGCCCCCGTGAGCCTGGGGAGGCAGGGGCTCCGGCCGCGGCGTGAGGAGGGACTGCCGTGACCGTGTGACTGGGGTCCCTGACGTCCTGGTGCACGCCCCCCAGAACTGCATGTTTGACACCTGTAACTGTGAGAAGAGTGAGGACTGCATGTGCGCGGCCCTGTCCTCCTACGTCCGGGCCTGTGCCGCCCGGGGCGTGCTGCTCAGCGGCTGGCGGGACGGCGTGTGCAGTGAGTGTCTGCTAGCCGGGCGCGGGGCTTGAGCAGCACCGAGCCCACGGCCCCGGGACCCTGTCGGGGGGCTGTGGGGGCCGGGGCTGCCTGCCAGCTCTGGCCTGAGTGCCACGCTCCCTGCATCCACAGCAAAGGCCATGGCGACCTGCCCCAAGTCTCTCACCTACCGCTACAACATCAGCACGTGCCCGCCCACCTGCCGGGCCCGGAGTGATGAGGACGTAACCTGCGGCATCGGCTTCGTCCCCGTGGACGGCTGCACCTGCCCCGAAGACACCTTCCTGGACAACACAGGCGCGTGCGTGCCAGCCGCCAGCTGCCCCTGCTACTTCCAGGGCTCCGTGGTCCCCAATGGGGAGTCGCGGCATGAGCAGGGCACTGTCTGGTAAGAGCTCGAGTGGGGTGGGTGGGTGGGGGAGGCTGGGGGCTCTCTGACTGCACTCTCCCGGCAGCTCCTGCACCCAGGGCGCACTCACCTGCATCGGAGGCCACACCTCAGATCAAGGTGAGCTGGGGCGGGTGGGGGGCCCTCGGTTATCTCTGCACAAAGCTTTGTAAGTACCTGCGGGATGACATGCCCGCAAGGCAGAGAGCTTGGCAGCAGCATCGGGCTCCCCTTAGCGCCCCCCTCCCTCCCCAGTCTGTGTCCCGCCCATGGTCTACTTCGACTGTCGCAACGCCACGCCTGGGGCCAGCGGGGCCGGCTGTCAGAAGAGCTGCCAAACCCTGGACATGGACTGTGTAAGTGCCCCCGTGGCCCCTGGGGCCCCTCTGCAGGCCCGGGTCACCCACTAAGCAGGCTCTGTCCCCCACCACAGTACAGCTCCAAGTGTGAGCCCGGCTGTGTGTGTCCTGATGGGCTGGTGGCCAGCGGCAACGGCAGCTGCATCCCCGTGTCCGACTGCCCCTGTGTGCATAACGAGGCCAGCTACCAGCCAGGCCAGACCATCCGCATGGGCTGCAACACCTGGTACCGGGGAGGGGGTGCTCCGGCAGCGGGAGGGGGCGCCACCTCGCCAGCCGCGGGGGCGGGCAGCTGGGGCCTCGAGCAGGGAGGTGTGGGCTGATGGGCACCCTCCCCCAGCACCTGTCGCAGCCGGACGTGGCAGTGCACCGACCAGCCCTGCCTGGCCACCTGCGCGGTGTACGGGGACGGCCACTACCTCACCTTCGACGGGCGGGACTACAGCTTCAGCGGGGACTGCGAGTACACGCTGCTCCAGGTACATGGCCTCTGAGCTGCCCGCCCGCCCCGAGGCCCGCTCATGGCCCCGGGGCGCGCTCACCCCAGCCTCTGCCCACAGGACCACTGCGGCGGGAACGGCAGCGCCCAGGACAGCTTCCGCGTCGTCACCGAGAACGTGCCCTGCGGCACCACAGGGACCACCTGCTCCAAGGCCATCAAGATCTTCCTGGGGGTGAGCAGGGGAGGGGGTCGGGGCAGGGAACCCCCCGGGAGGCCACGCTCCCATGACTCGGCCAGGACAGGGGTGGCCGAGCCACGAACCCACCCAGGCGGTGGCCAGGGTCCTCAGCCAGACCCTCACTGTCCCTGCAGAGCTACGAGCTGAAGCTGAGCGACAGGAAACTGGAGGTGACCGAGACGGGCCCGCGGCCACCCTACTCCATCCGCCAGATGGGCATCTACCTGGTGGTCGACACGGGAGTGGGCCTTGTGCTGCTGTGGGACAAGGGTACCAGCATCTTCCTCAGACTCAGCCCCGACTTCAAGGTGAGGCCTCGCCCCAGACCCGGGGCAACGGGTGACGGAGGTGCAGGCAGGGGAGAGACAGAGACCCCGAAACAGAGACGGAGAGAGACAAGCAGAGGGACAGGGAGAGACAGAGAGACAAGAAACAGGAGAAAGAGGCACGGAGAGGCGGAGGGACGGAGAGGAGCTGGCAGCAGGCAGCAGGAGACCCTCGGCCACGTCTGGGTCCTGCAGCTGCTGGAAGAAGACCACAGGCAGGGGGCCCTCCTCCCCAAGGCTGCGTGCTGAGCTGGTCAAGGCGCCCCAGGGCTATGGGCCTCCTGAGGCCCGAGGCCTCCTTGCCTCCTGCAGGCCCCATGGCCCCGGGTGGGCCTTCACCCCACACTCTGCCCCACCATGTCTCTGCACTGTCTTCATTCCATGGACCCTCATTCCATAAGGACTGCAGCCAGCGGATCAGCCATCTCAGGCCAGGGAGCCCTCATGGCAACTTGGTCATGCCCGCAGAGACCTCACTCCCACTCTGGGCTGTGTGGGGGTCCGGGATGAGGACCTGAGCCTGTCTTTGGGGGCACCCCATGGCTGCTACGCCACGTCACCTGTACCTTCTGCTCCAGGAGACACCAGTGCCCAGTGGGCTGCACCCAGGGCCGCCCTCACACTCACTGGGGCTCCTCTGGGGGGCATCCTGGGGGAGATGCGGGCCCGGGGCAGTGAGTGGGGTCCCAGGGCCCCTCTTGCACTCGCCCGGAGCTGCTGCCACCTCCTCGTCCGTCTGTCTGCAGGGGAGGGTCTGCGGGCTGTGCGGGAATTTTGACGACAATGCCCTCAACGATTTCACCACACGGAGCCAGTCCGTGGTGGGTGACGTGCTGGAGTTTGGCAACAGCTGGAAATTCTCCCCATCGTGCCCGGACGCTCTGGCCCCCGGAGACCCCTGCACCACCAACCCGCACCGCAAGTCCTGGGCCCAGAAGCAGTGCAGCATTATCAACAGCGCCACCTTCAGCGCCTGCCATGCCCACGTACGTGGGGCGCCTCTGGGCACCTGGGGAGGGAGGGATGGAAGTGGGTCTGGGCTCCGCACCGCCCTCCGGGGCCAGCGGTGGCTGTGCAGGACCCTGTGCTCCAGGGGAAACCGGCCCAGGCAGATGCCAAACCACGTGGGTGCCCGGGAGCCTCCTGGCGTCTGAAGCCTCTCTCCCACAGGTGGAGCCATCCAGGTACTACAAGGCCTGCGTGAGCGATGCTTGTGCCTGCAACTCGGGGGGTGACTGTGAGTGCTTCTGCACAGCCGTGGCCGCCTATGCCCAGGCCTGCCACGATGCGGGCGTGTGCGTGTCCTGGCGGACCCCGGACATCTGCCGTGAGTGCTCTGAGACCTGCCTCCCCGGGTGGTGCGGGGGTGCAGGGGGTCACGAGAGCTGGGCTGAGAGTAGGAGGGGAGGCGGGGAATCAGCAGAGCTCCCTTCCTGCCCCAGGGCCTGGGCGCAGGGGGCGGGTGTCCCCAAGAAGCTGGCCACCTGCCCCCTCTTGCCTACGGGCTTCCTAGGCCCACACCCTCTGAGGCTACATTCGGGGGCACAGAGGAGAGACATGTCTTCAGAGCAAGGATCGGGGTGTGGGGGTGGCCCCGGGCTGCCCTTCCAGGAGCAGCCCCCCGCCTTGGGCCTTCCGGGCCGAACGCCTGGCCCTGAGCTGACCCCTCATCCACAGCTCTGTTCTGCGACTACTACAACCCCCAGGGCCAGTGCGAATGGCACTACCTCTCCTGCGGGGCGCCCTGTCTGAAGACCTGCCGGAACCCCAGTGGCCAGTGCTGGCACGACACCCACAGCTTGGAAGGTGGGCTGCCCTGCTGGTCCGGGGCAGGGTGAGGGGGGGCCATGCTGGGGACCCTGGGTCGGGGCTGGGGTCTGTCCTGGCCATCCTGCGACCGTTGACCCAGCTGGACCCCCCCAGGTCCATCAAGGTGCCTTTGTGGCCGTAGCCTCGAGTTCCCCGCTGCCTGGGGGGTGAGGTCCAGGGCTGGGGCCTGAGCCGAGGTGGGAGCGAGGTAGCAGGTGATCGGCCCGGCTGGGACTCACATCGCTCTGGTCCGCAGGCTGCTACCCCAAGTGCCCACCAGAAGCCCCCATCTTCGATGAGGACCAGATGCAATGTGTGGCTTCATGCCCGACCCCATCCCCACCACCAACCTGCCATGCTGGAGGCCAGTCCTTCTGGCCAGGCTCCAAGGTGCCCTCGGACAGGAACTGCTACTCCTGGTGAGTCTGGCCGGAGCTGCGAGGACCTGGAGCATGTGGGGGATTCGCCCGGCCGCCTCCCAGCAGGGACTCCCACCTTCAGGGCCAGAGGGGTGCCCTGTTCTGGGTCTCGGTGGGGGTCCATGGGGAGTCTCCTCGCTGCTGGACGAGGAGGGGAGGCCTGGAGGTGAAGGAGGCAGGCAGAAGGGAACCCGAGGAGCCCTCCCCAGGAAGAGGCCCTGGGGAGGAAGTGGCCTGGAAGGTCCTTGGGTCCAGAGGATGTGCTGGAACCACCTCTGCTCATTGGCTGAAGGGCTCCCCGAGAGGGCGTGACCTCTGGGCTAAGGCCTGGCCGCAGGGACCCAGCGGGGTGGCTTCTGCCTGCCTGCCCCTCGGCACAGACCAGGGGACACCTGGCACGCCGACTCACCTTTCTCCTGTCACCAGCATCTGCACTGAGGGCGGCGTGCAGTGTGCCTATGCCGCGAACGGTGAGCAGTGGACAGCCCTCCTTGTGCCCGGGGCCCAGGGCTCCTGCCCGCATCCCCACCCAGTAACGCTGGCGCTCTGCTCCCAACAGCTTGCATCTGCACCTATGGCGGGAAGCAGTTCCATCCCGGGGACGAAATCTACCGAACAACGGACGGTTTGGGGAGCTGCATCTTGGCCCGCTGTGGGGCCAACGGCACCATCGAGAGACTGGTCTACCCCTGCAGCCCCACCACGCCCACCCCCCAGACCATCTTCTCCTTCTCGACATCCCTGCCGGGTAAGGCAGACGCGTGGGTACCGCGCAGGGCTGCTCCCCCACCCCCGCCCTGAGTCAGGAAGGAGCCGGGACCCAGCAGAGCCCGTGCCCCTGGGCCGGTCACCCTGCAGCCAGAAAGGGCCAGCCTCCTCGAGGCCCCCTGGCAGGACTGATGCCCCTGCTGTGCTTTTGGGGCTGAGGCTCCCAGCGAGGGGCAGGCGCTGTAAGCGGAGGTGTCCCAGGACAGTCCCCGGAAAGAGGACCTGGGGAAGCCCAGCTCGAGCACCCCTGCCCAGACCTGCTGCCCTCAAGGCCCCTCTGAGTCCTCACTCTTCCAGGGGCACCTCAGGGCCTTATTAGAGCTTCCCCAAAGGGTAACGAGCCTCTGGAACTCTGGGCTTAGGTTCCAGGGAGCAGGCTTCCTTACACAAGCTCAACTCACCTCTTGACTCAGGAGTGGGGACCTCCACACCTGCCAGGTGTGGGTGCCCTGCCTCCCAAGCCCCGGTCGGGGCAGACAGATGCGGTGAAATGCCCTGGCAGCTGATGCTGACAGAGGGGTGGGGCGGGGTGTCCTCGAGGGCCCAGGAACCTTTACACCCGTCCCAGGAACCCCTACACCTGTCCCAGGCACCTCAACACCTGTCCCAGTACCTCAGCACCTGTCCCAGGAACCTTAACACCCATCCCAGGACCCTCTACACCCGGCACAGGTCACTTGACTCCTGGGAAAACAACCCTCTTGACTCCCAGCCTAGTGCCAGTCTCAACAACTATTTCAAGCACAACTTTTGTGTTGACCACAGCTTCAACGTCCCCAGAGAGGCCTCCAACTGAGCCCACCATGGTCACCACGGTCACTTGTTTACAAGTTTTATGCAACTGGACTGAGTGGATGGACGGCAGCTACCCTGGGCCGGGGAGAAACAGTGGAGATTTTGATACTATTCCGAATCTCAGAGCCGAAGGTTATAAATTCTGTGCAGAGCCCAAGAATGTGCAGTGCCGGGCAGAGCGCTTCCCTGACACCCCAATGCAGGAGCTGGGCCAGGACGTGATCTGTAACAAATCCGTGGGCCTGATTTGCCGGAACGAGGACCAGCTGCCCCCCATCTGCTACAACTACAACGTCCGCTTCCTGTGCTGTGAGCCGGTGGACACTTGCAGGACACACAGCCCTTCGCCTGCGACATCNCGCAACCTCGGCTCCTAAAACGAGCTCAACCTCTGTGCACACAGGCAGCACAACTTCGGCTCCTACAACCAGTGGAACCTCTGTTCCTACATCCGAGACCACCCTGTCCCCACCGGGGACCACACCATGCAAGCCAGAGTGCAGGTGGACCAAGTGGTTCGATGTGGACTTCCCCATGCCTGGGCCCCACGGGGGAGACAATGAAACCTTCAGCAACATCCTGAGGAATGGAGACCTCATCTGCCACCGACCCGAATCCATCAGCAGAGTGGAGTGCCAAGCCGAGAGCCACCCCGGGGTCAGCATCCACGAGCTGGGCCAGGTGGTGCAGTGCCACCAGGACGTGGGCCTGCTGTGCCGGAACCAGGACCAGAAGGGTGAGACCAGCACGTGCCTCAACTACCAGATCAGAGTGCTGTGCTGCGAGCCCCAGGAACACTGCCCTCCACCCACTGTCACAGGAGCCAGCACCACCAGTGTGAGCGTCAGTGTGCACTCAGCGACCACCGTCCACCAGGCCACATCCAGTGCAAGCTCTGTGCAGACAAGCGGCACAACCTCGGCTCCTACAACCAGTGCAACCTCTCTTTCTACATCTGCGACTACCCCCTACTCATCTGGGACCACAGCCTGCTACTGCAATGCGTCCGGCACGTTGTATCCCTCAGGTATGTAGACTCTTCCCCTGTGTGTGGTTGTGCCCCCTCTGGTCCCGGTGCCCTCCTCTCAAAGCCTCAGTGTGCAGGAGACACAGGTGTGTCTTGTCTGTGACAGGCTAGGTCTGTGTCCAGGATCACAGTAAGCTCTCCATGAAGATGAAGTCTAGACCTGGGTTGGAGGGCCCCAGTCAGGCCAGCTCTTCTCTGGAGTTACTTCCTGGCCTTCAGTGCCTGCCTCTTCCTTTGTCCTGCAGGATCCATCATCTATGAAGTGACCGACCTATTGGGCCACTGCTATTATGCCTTTTGCAGCCTGGACTGCCACGTGGTCAAGCAGATGGCCCCCTCCTGTCCCACCAGCATGCCACCTCCCACTCCGACCACCTCCCCACCAGAGTCCTCCCCTTCTACTTCTGTGTCGGTCCCTCCACAAGGGTGCCCAAATGCAGTTCCCCCAAGAACGGTAACCTCACCTCTCCTGCCCTTCTCAGGGGCTCAGGGGGCCTGGGAAGGGACCCTCAGTGGTTTCCAACTAGAGAGTGTGGCATGAAGCGTGGGTGAAGGTCAGTGACTCCTGGGCTGATGCAGGCTGGCTATGACAAGCAGCCATCTGGTCTCCAGCTCTTCTGGATGGGGGCGCCAGGAGCACGGGGCCCAAGGTTGAGATTCTCTTCCCTGTAAAGTGGGCTGGAGCAGGCTGTTGTTTCTTGGGGGTGGGTGAAACAGCCAAGGACTGGAGACCAAAGAGTTGGAGGCAGGGGGCACGGTGGAAAGGGGTGGCACGCCTTCACCAGCCAGAGTTCCCCCTACTCAGCCCTGTGCCCTCTGGGTGGGTCTGGGGAAGGAGAGGACTGGGGCAGGGCTGGCCCCTAGTCCCAGAAGGGTGGCTCTTCTCCCCGGGGAGACCCAGGCGCATGCTGAGCCCCGTGGGGTAGGTGCCAGGCGGGAACGAGGCCCTGTAGCTTTCTCTGCTTCCACAGACAGGTGAAACCTGGCCCATGCCCAACTGCTCTGAGGCCACCTGCCAGGGCAACGGGGTCATCACGGTGAGCCCGCGCCACTGTCCGAAGGTGCAGAAGCCCACCTGTGCCAATGGCTACCCCGCCGTGCAGGTGGCTGACCATGACAGCTGCTGCTCACACTACCAGTGCCCGTGTGAGTGCGCGGGGCGGGGCGGGGCGGGGCTCAGCGGCTGGACAGGACTGGGCGTGGCTGGGCGTGGCGGGGCGGGGCGCAGGGGCGGAGGCAGAGAGGGCAGAACGGAATCAGGCTGGACCCAGGGAGGACGCCCCAAGATCAAGGCACCAGTGGTGGCGCTCAGCCTCCACCAAGGTGCCGCGCGGGGCCCTGCCCGGGCCTGGAGTCCCCGGGCCGCGCAGGGGTGAGGAGGCGGAGGGAGTCTGGTCCGCTTCGGGCGCCTGCTGAACAGAGTTCTGTGCGGTGCCGGCGCGTGGGCCCTGACGGCAGGGCGGTCACCTGCTCCGCTTGGTGTGGGACCACGTGTCCCTGGGGCGGGGGCGGCAGTGCAGCCCGTCAGGCGCTGGCTCCTCTGTGCAGGCGTGTGCAGCGGCTGGGGGGACCCACACTACATCACGTTCGACGGCACCTACTACACGTTCCTGGACAACTGCACGTACGTGCTGGTGCAGCAGATCGTGCCGGTGTACGGCCACTTCCGCGTGCTGGTCGAGAACTATTTCTGCGACGCGAAGGACGGGCTGTCCTGCCCACAGTCCATCATCGTTGAGTACCAGGAGAACCGCGTCATGCTGACCCACAAGGCCGTCCGCGGGGTGATGACCAACGAGGTAGGCACGTGGCAGGGCGACTCCCACAAGTGCCGGGCGGGCTGAGGGCGCCGGGCGCTGGCTGATCACCACCGCCCCTGCCCCTCTCATTCTGTTCCTCGCTGGTCACCGTCCAGATCATTTTTAATGGCAAGGTGGTCAGGCCCGGCTTCCAGAAAGACGGCATTGCCGTCTCCCAAGTTGGCATCAAGATGTATGTGAGCATTCCTGAGCTCGGCGTCCAGGTCATGTTCAGCGGCCTCATCTTCTCCGTGGAAGTGCCCTTCAGCAAGTTTGCCAACAACACAGAAGGGCAGTGTGGTGGGTGCCCGGCTCCCACTCCCCACCCTTCTGGCTCCGGGCCATGTCCGTGGTCATTCAACGTGGCTGAGTGTGTCTGGTGTGAGAACGGTTGGCCTTGGTTGTGTCTCCCCCCGCCCCCGGAGCTACACTTTTGGCCCCGGGCTGAGGCCACTGCATGGTGCTGAGCCTACAGGCAATTCTGCTTTCTGGTTGCACCAAGAATGTGCGACCACAGGGCCCAGGGCCCTGCGCCCAGGGCCCAGCCACGTGACCCACACCTGAGGACCACCCCCGTCATCCTTCCTGGGAATGGCCCCGGGGTCTGGCTTCTTGGAGGGAAAGGAAGCACACAGAGGTGGAGAGGCAGGTTCACACACTCCATCGAGTGCTGCCTGGAGATGCTGGGCCCGACCCTCGGCTCAGGGACGCTGAGCCCCCGGCGGGGCGCAGGAGGCCCCCTGACCACCACCTCCACGCTGCAGGCACCTGCACCAATGACCAGAAGGATGATTGCCGCCTGCCTGGGGGCGCGGTGGTGGCCTCCTGCTCTGACATGTCCGGCCACTGGAAGGTGACATACCCTGGCCAGCCGCCCTGCAACGGGCCTCCCCCGACGCCTACCCCAGTGGAGCCCAGGACCTCGCCCACCCCGTGCCCACCTTCACCAATCTGCCAGCTCATTCTGAGCAAGTGAGATTCTGGGGCAGGGCTGGGGCAAAGGCAGGGGTGCTAGTAGTCCTGTTGACCCCACGCTGCCGGGCTGGTGGGAAGAGGTGGGCCTGCAAGGGGCTGCGAGGGAGAGGGGGTCACAGCTGCTGGGATGCCGGGTGCAGAGCCCCGTGGAGGCTGGCTGCGGGGCAGCCTCAGGCTCTGCGGCAGCTCATGGCCACAAGTCCTCAGCCAGCATGGCGCTGGGTGGGCAGGCCCCGGGGAACTCAGCGGAGAATTTGCAGAAAGAAAAACTATGTTCAGCCAGACACCCACCCCACCACACACAGATGGCCCCAGGGGCCGGGGCCCCCGGGCACGTGGGTCGGCCCAGCGACGTCCCTCCCTCGGGGCCCTTTCGGGGAAAGCCCGCAGCCGAGCAGCCCCTCCCCGGCACTGCCCACGACCCGCATGTTTGTGCCGCAGGCCCTTCAAGCTGTGCCACGCGCTAATCCCGCCCTGGCCGTACTACCAAGGCTGCATCTTCGACCAGTGCCACATGCCCGGCATGGACGTGATGTGCTCTGCCCTAGAGCTCTACGCTGCCCTCTGTGCCTCCCTTGGTGTCTGCGTCGACTGGCGGGGCCAGACCAACTACACGTGCCGTGCGTGTCCACCCCCTCCCCCTCCCTCTGGGCAGTGGCATTCAAGAGGATCGGCGCAGTGTGCGATCAGTGGGTGGGCCTGGGTGGTCAAGGTGGGCTTCTGGGAGGAGGAGGAGGGCTGGGCCCAGGATGGAGAGCATTTGTTTCCTGAGAGACAAGAGGGGGCATCCAGGTGAGAGCGTCTGGTCTTGGGGTGCAGAGGTCAGGGCTCGACCAGCAGGTCCTGGCCCGAGAGCTCCTGGCCTCACCTGCCAGTGGGGCCCAGGTCAGGGCCCGAGGCTGGTGCCCTGCGGCCTCAGGCGCGTCCTCCCCGCCCCACACAGCCTTCACCTGCCTTGCTGGCATGGAGTACCGGCCCTGCGGCCCGCCCACCCCCTCCTACTGTTGCATGGACAGCAGCACCAGCGCCCCGTAAGCACTTGCCTGCTACCGTGGGGACCCCTTCCCTGGTCCAGCCTGTGTCCCCTCCCGGAGGGCGCGGCCCGCTCACCCTCTGCTCCCACTCCCCATAGGGCCTTCCTGGGAGCCAGTCCCATCACGGAAGGCTGCTTCTGCCCTCAGGGCATGATGTTCTACAGCTCGAGCAAGGAGGTCTGCGTGCCCGCTGACTGCAACAGTAGGTTCCCAGGCTGGGCTCCCCGGGCTGGGCTCTGGGCTTCCAGGCACTGCCCCTGGCTTTTCAGCCGGACCCCAGGGCTTTCTGCCATGACCTGGGGTCCCCCTGGCCCCAGACTGGGTCTGGCTGTGACGGGCTGGGGGCCAAGGTGGCCCAGCAGTGATCTTTCCTCTTTTCCTCCAGCTTGCCTGGGGCCCAGTGGGGAGCCTGTGGAGGTGAGTGTGGGGCCCTCAGGGGCTGGGGGCTTCTCTCAGCCCTGGAGACTCACAGGATAGGTAGGAGGGCGGCTGGGGTTCTCTGGCAAGAGTCAGGACCCCCATGCGCGGCCCTGGGGCCGGTGCACCCTGTCTTCCCGGGGACCCCTCCCACCCACCCCTGCAGAGCCACGGCGTGCAGGACCGCCTCCTGCCTCCAGGCCCTTGTGGGCCTCAGCTGCACCCACATCTCTGGAGACCACTTGCAGGCTCCGAGCCGTGGGTTTCTGCCCCTCTGGCTGTGGCCATGGGCTCTCTTTTCCCTCCCCTGACAGCCCGGCCACACGGTCATCGTGGACTGCCAGGAGTGCACCTGTGAGGGCAGCACGCGGACCATGAGCTGCCGGCCCCAGGCCTGCCCCCCGGCCCCCACCTGCCCCGAGTCTGGCCACGTGCCTGTGCCCGAGGCCCTGCAGACCGGCCAGTGCTGTCCCCAGTACCATTGCGGTGAGCCCCGGGTGGGGGCGGGGGGCGCCGGGCTGGCCGGCAGAAGGGCTCTGAAATGTGGGCTACGGTGAGGTCAGAGCTGACCAGAAGCCTCATCCCTCTGGCAGCGGGCACCGCTCCGAGAGCCTACCCCCTGCCAGAGTCCTACCCAACTCAGGATTTCTGGAGACCCCCCATAGGGGTGGCACTCAGGCCAGGGTGGGAGGCAGATCCCTGACGCCCCCTCTGTCCACTGTAGCCTGTAACACCAGCCACTGCCCTGAGCCCGAGGCCTGCCCGAAAGGCTCACACGCCATCCAGACCTACAGCGAGGCGGCCTGCTGCCCGACCTACAGCTGCAGTGAGTGCCCTGGCTAAGTGGTGGCCAGGCAGGGGAAGCGGGGCTGTGACAGCTGCTCCAGGGGCTGAGGGTGCATCTGCAGCTTTTCTTTCTCCCCCGAGCAGGCTGGAGCGTCTGCAGCATCAACGGCACCCTGTACCAGGTAAGAACTGGCGAAGGTCAGGGCCCCCTGGTGCGCAGGGACCAGAGTCCCCGTCCTGCAAGCTTCTCCGTGGCCGAGGCTGCATCCCTGCGGGGCCTGGGGAAGGTGCACTTTGGAGCAGCAGTAGGCTCTCCTGGGACCACAGCCCTTGTCCTGAACTTGACAAGGTCCCCAGACAAGCTTTCCCCTGGCCAGGTCCTCTAGAGCATGTGATGCAGCCTTGGGACTCTGTCCCCAAGACTGGGACCCCCGGCAGGGGGCACTCCCAAGGGTCATCCAGGGGGAGGACAGTCCACCAGGCCTGTCCCACTGACACTACCCCTGACTCCCGCAGCCCGGTGCCGTGGTCTCCTCGAGCCTGTGTGAAAAATGTTGGTGTGAGCTGCCTGGGGGAGCCCCATCAGACACCTTTTCGATCAACTGTGAGACCCAGATCTGCAGTACCTCCTGCCCCCTGGTGAGTGCCCCTGCACCCCGGCCTCCACACCCCCCTCCGCAGCATCCAGAGGGGCTCAGGCCATGCCCTGCCTCCCTCAGGGCTTCAAGTACCAGGCTCAGGCCGGGCAGTGCTGTGGTGAGTGTGTGCAGGTGGCCTGCATCATGAACACCAGTGACAGCTCCGCCCACCTCTTCTACGTGAGTAGTGGCCGCAAGGCCTTGGGGTGCATTCTGGGCGGGGTCAGCCCCAACCCTGGACAGAGGGCAGAGTGCACAGCGATGGTGGGGGTGCAGGGTGAGTAGCATCCTGGCGCACTGGGGACCCTGGAGAGCCGTCAGAGCTAGGCGGCCTCTGGGCAGAACCGCGGGAGCTCTGGAAGCCTGTGGGCTGGGGGCTGATGGACAGACACAGCGCCCGCCCCAGGGGTGGGGGCCCTGGGGAGGACTGCTTACCTGCCGGCTGGGACTCCCTGCAGCCGGGCGAGTCCTGGTCAGACCCCGGAGACCACTGCGTGACGCACAAGTGTGAGAAGCACTGGGATGGGCTCGAGGTGGTGACCACAAAGAAGGTGTGTCCCCTGCTCAACTGTCCTGCGGTGAGTCCCGGCAGTCCGCCTGCCCTTCCTGGGGGGCCCACGGTGGCCGGGGAGGATCAGTCCCTGGACAGGAGTGGGTAGCCACGATCAGCAGGTGGGCGGGCATGGATGCACCCTCCTGGTACCCACTCCCCGCCAATGGCACCGTGGTCCACACAGGACAAGGCTCTGCCCAGCGAGGACGGCTGTTGCCTCTCCTGCCCCTCACCCTACGAGAACCGTGAGTGGGCGGCTCTGCCGGGGAGGGGACGCGGATTCTACCCTGCCCCGGGCCAGGGCTGACCTCTGCACACCCCCTGACCCTCCCCAGAGTCGACCTGCGCGATGCACTACCAGCTCCAGGTCCTCCGGCAGCAGGGCTGCAGTTCCTCCGGACCCGTGCGCCTCGCCTACTGCCAGGGCAACTGCGGGGACACCACCTCCGTGTACGTGAGCCCGCCCCCAACCCCACCCCGTGGGGCCACCACCCCGTGCGCGTGAGCCCCGACCCCACACTACCCTGCGGGGGACACCACTCCCTGGGCCCCCGACCCCGCCCCACCCTGCGGGGACACCACCTCTAAGCCCTTGAGCCCCGCCCCCACCCCGCACAGAAGGCTACTGCAGGGCAGTGCTCAGTAAGGTTCAACGGGGCGCTCCCGCCGGGGGCTGCGGGGAGTACCCCCGGAAAGGGACTGGAGGGACCAGGGGCCAGCAGGGGGCTGGGCTGGGGTCCAGGGACGGTGGCTCTTAGCCTGTTTGGAATCACACTCCTCTGTTTACTGAGAAGCCCGCTGGTGGTTCTGGAGCCTGGCGGACCCCTCCCTGCGGAGGCGGGGCTGCAGGAGGCGGGACCTCGAGGGGCGGGGCCTAGGGAGGTGGGGTCTCGCGGGGCGGGGTCTCGCGGGGCGGGGCCTCGCGGGGCGCTGCTGAGCGGGCCCCGCCCACAGGTTCTCCCCGGAGTCGAACGCAGTGGAGCACCGGTGCAGCTGCTGCCGCGAGCTGCGCGTCTCTCTGAGGAACGTGACCCTGCGTTGCGAGGACGGCTCGAGCCGCACCCTCACCTACACGGAGGTGGAGGAGTGCGGCTGCAAGGACCTGCAGTGCGACTCCCCCGGGGGCCTTGCCCTCTCGGCGGTGGAGCTGGAGCCAAGCCCGGAGAGCGGGCTCAGGCGCCGCGGGAGGAGGGCCCCGCGGGCTCGGCCCCTGCAGTAGAGGCCACAGCCCCGGCTTGGGCCTGGCGGCCGCGCTCCTCAACAAACCCGCAGGAACGCTTCTATTTGCTGCCAACGGCCTCCAAGGCCGGTGGAACCTGAGCCCCGGGCCAGGGAAGCCCCCCCCCACCCAACCCCTTTCGTCTCTCCCAGGGTCCAGCTGACCCCGTGTGCAGTGGCCCCAGGGGCCTGCTCAGGACCAGCCCCGCCGGCAGGGGGTGGGGAGGCTCCTCTGGCCGTGGGTCCAGCCTCCTGGCCCCAGGCCTCTGCATCACACCGTTCCCTCGATGTGGTGACCGGGGCTGCTCGGCTGGCCGCTGGGCCTCAGGAAAGGGCCAGAGGGTTTGTGAATACACTTGGAGCATTTTTTGATTCCTGGACTCTGTGTGATTTTTTAAGCTTGTCCGTAATACCCAGGAGAGGGGCGGGGGGTCAGGCGTGGGCCCAGGGTGTGGGCCCGGGACAGGGCAGGCCTGTTGACCGGTCTTCTGTGCGCTTGGATGGACAGAGGGTGTGCACGAAGGTTCAAGGGCGGGAGTCTCCTGTGTCCGCCCAGCTGAGCCGTCAGACGGGAGGGGCTCTGTTTTCTCCCAGACCTCTGGACTCTACCATCATGCCAGAGCCTAGCTCAGTGTGCGGTGCCTGTGTGTGTGCGTGCAGGCCCAAGGGAAACCCCTGCCCCAGGAGTCCTGTCACCCCTTACTGCGACCCCTGACCCCCACCTGGAGAACCAATGTTGGGAGGGGGGCCCCCAGAGCAGACCAGCGGACAACACGCGAATCGGGCCCACTTCGTCCACCTCAGGCTGCCAGGCCCAGGCTGAGCGGGTCTGGGGCCCCGAGTGCGGTGGGTGGGGTAGGAGCCAGGGCTGGCGGCCGGACGTGGCTGCAGTGTCTGCGGCCGCCACCAGGTGGCAGCACAGAGGCCTGCTGCCTCCGACAGGCCGGGGGCTCGGGAAGCAGTTGGGGGGCTCGGGGCCCAGGTCCGCGGCTTTTGTTCTCCGAGGCTGGGCCGCCTCTCAAGGCCAGCGGGGCCACGAGGACCCTGAGTGAGGGCCAGGGTAAGGTCACACAGCCCCACTGGCCGGCGTCGCCCACTCCCACCCCTTCTGCCCCGTGCTGAGCCCCGCAGCCGTGTGGGCTGTGGAGCTAACCCCGCAGGCTGGCCCTCCGGTCAGAGCCCAGGAGGGGGCCGAGGGGCTCCCGCAGCCATGACCTCATGATCCCTGGGCCTGGGGGACGGGCGGGTAGGGGGTGGACGGACGTGGCCAGGAGGTGGGGGCAGAGAGCTCACTGCCGCCCCCGCGGGACGCTCCCCTTGGGAGCAGGAAGTTCCTGGTCCTCGCGGTCTGGGAGCCGCTGCCCCAGTGACCGGCTGACCCCGCAGCCGCAGGCGGCACCCTAATCAGCACCTCTGCCCCCCGAGGGGCTCAGGTGTCGGGAGCCGCCTCTTCCTCTCGGGCCGGGCTGGACGCCACCGCAGGGACTAATCCCCACCCCCCACGGAGCGCACGCCGCCCCCACCCCCGGAACTCTGACCCAGCAGCAGGAGAAACCAGATAACGGGCCCAGCCCCACCCCAAGCCCCAGCCGGGCTGTGAGAAGGCGACAAGGGGCTGGGCGCGGCCCACCACAGCTCCGCCTCCTCCAGGCAATGCTCGGGCCCCCCACCCCCTGGGGTGCTGGGCGTGGCTCTGGGGCCGGGACTGCTTGGGGCGGCCCACCACCCCACCTCCTGGGCCCCCCCTTGGAGTCCAGCCTTGGCAGGGCTGTCGCTTCAGGGGCTGGAGTGGGAGGGGAGGAGTGCTCCTGGGTTCTGCCCCAGTCAGGTGGGGGAGGGGTGTCCCCGCTCACGCAGGGGGTCAGGCTGGGTGCAGCTTCTGCCCAGATGAAGGGCTGAGGGGTCTTGGAGATGGGGAAGGAGGTGAATATGGACACAAGATGCTGGCAGCCCCCTCCTGACCTCTGCCCCTAGCACACCCACCTTACCCAGGGACACCTGGACTCCCATCCTGGCCCCAACCTTCAGGAGAGGGCTGCTTGGTCTGAGGCCAGGGGCGGGGTGCCAGCGGCTGACTTGGTCCTGGGGACTCGCGGGCCACAGCTGCCATCTTCTGACCCGAGCCCTGGGCAGAAGTTGGTGCTTCACAGCTGGCCCCGCAGGGACATGTGGGGCCCGGGACATCCCGCAGGTGCCTCTGTGAGCGCAGCTCAGACGGCTGCATGGCTGGATCTTCAGAGGAAGTGAGCAAACTGGCCACAGGATCCGCGTGGACATCAGCGTCCTTGGGTCTCCGGGGGTCAGCGACGACAGAGAGCAAGAGGTGCAGTGCACTGGCACAGGAAGGACCACGGCGGCCGCGGAGCCAGAGCCGCCCCCGGAGCCGCGCTGCGGGGCGGCCAGGGCCCACCCTGGGGAGCCACGCCCCGTGTGGGCCTGTGACGCGGGCAGAGTGCACAGATCGCCCAGATCACCCAGAATGAGGCCGCGTGTTGGTGCCACAGAAGCAAAGCAGAAACCCCCGTCTGCCGGGAGGTTGGGTGGCGTCCCGCTAAGAGGCCAGCACAGGAGGGAGGGGGGCAGAGGTGCCCCCGCGGGATTTGGCAGGGTCAGAGGTCGGCGCTGCAAGGACACAGGACAGCCTGACGTGGGTGGTGGAGGGGGCTGGAGGGCGGCCGGGCCAGGCGGAGTGGGCCTCAGGGTCACCCAGAACCAGGCCTCCGTGCTGGGTGAGGGGCACGTGGGGCGGGCAGGGGGCCCTGCCTGGTCCCCCAGACCCCCCGCTGGGTGAGGGTGGACACATGGGCTGAGGAAGAAGCCAGCTGGGGGACGGGCCGTGGGTCAGAGGTGAAGGTCCACTGGGCCAGGTGTGGAGTGTGGGTGAATGGAATGGACCAGACCCCTCCATGTGGGAGGAAGATGGGGTGGCTGAGGAGGGCAATTGGGGTGTGTGGGAGCTTGGTTGGGTCGCACTGTGTTTGACTTGCTAGGTGCCTGATGGAGAGGTCAGGCAGGCAGCTGGACATGAGTGTCAGGGGCCAGGGCAGGAGCCTGCCTTTGATGGACAGTAAAGATGGGAGGATCACAACAAACTGTGGAAAATTCTGTGTGCACCAGGACCCAGAGACCCCACAGAGGCTGAGCCAGCACTGTGTCTGAGCGTCTCCTGAGGAGGTCCGGGTCAGCACTGGACTGCCGCAGGGGCAGGGGCTCTGGGTGCAGTAGACCTGGGCATGGCATAAGCCCTCTTGGAGGAGGTCACCGTTAACCCCACCATGAGCCGCCAGGACTTACACAGGACTGGGGAAACAGACTCTTGGAGGCACAAACAGAACCTTGTGAGCACCAGGACCCAGGAGAAAGGAGCACTGACCCTGCAGGAGACTGACCCAGACTTAGCTGTGAGCGTCAGGAGTCTCAGGCCACGTGGGCCATCAGTGAGCTGCTGCAGGGTCGGGGGCACTGAGTGTGGGAGTGTGTGCGTGAGACACTTTGAAGGAGGTCGACATTATCTCCGTCAGTCCACCGCAGGTTGGCCTCGGGTCAAACAGCAGGGAGGAACACAGCCCCGCCCATCAACAGAAAACTGAATTAAAGATTTACTGAGGCCCCGCCCATCAGAACAAGACCCAGTTTTCTCCTCAGTCAGTTTCTCCCATCAGGAAGCTTTCTTAAGCCTCTTATCCTTCTCCATCAGAGGGCAACAGAGTGAAAACTACAATCACAGAAAACTAACCAATCTGATCTCATGGACCACAGCCTTGTCTAATTCAATGAAACTATGAGCCATGCCGTGTTAGGGCCACCCAAGACAGATGGGTCATGGTGGAGAGTTTTGACAAAACATGGTCCACTGGAGAAGGGAATGGTAAACCACTTCAGTATTCTTGCCTTGAAAACCCCATGAACAGTACAAAAAGGCAAAAAGATAGGACACTGAAAGATGAACTCCCCAGGTTGGTAGGTGCCCAATATGCTACTGGAAATCAGTGGAGAAATAACTCCAGAAAGAATGAAGAGATGGAGCCAAAGCAAAAACAACACCCAGTTGTGGAAGTGAAGTCTGGTACTGTAAAGAGCCATAATTGAACAGGAACCTGGAATGTTAGGTCCATGTAAGTAAGTAAGTGAAGTCACTCAGTTGTGTCTGACTCTTTGCAATCCCATGGACTGTAGCCTAACAGGCTTCTCCCGTGGGATTTTCCAGGCAAGAGTACTGGAGTGGGTTACCATTTCCTTCTCCAGAGGATCTTCCCCACCCAGGGATTGAACCCAGGTCTCCCTCATTGTAGGCAGATGCTTTACTGTCTGAGCCACCAGGAAAGTCTGTATGTTTCAAAAGATGATGTAAATCTTTTCTTAAAAACTTACATTTCTCAGCAGATGCTGAAGACTGAAATTGGGGTTTCCCCCAATTGGACTCATGTTGCTCCTTTCTTTTTGCATTATTGTTAGCATTATGTGTAACTCTCTCAATTTCTTTATGTCCATGAATCAAGGCAAATTGGAAGTGGTCAAACAAGAGATGGAAAAAGTGAACATTGATATTTTACAAATCAATGAACTAAAATGGACTGGAATGGGTGAATTTAACTCAGATGACCATTATATCTACAACTGTGGGCAAGAACCCCTTAGAAGAAATGGAGTAGCCCTCGTTGGCAACAAAAGAGTTCGAAATGCAGTGCTTGGATGCAGTCTCAAAAATGACAGAATGCTCTCTATTCGTTTCCAAGGAAAACCATTCAACATCACAGTAATCCAAGTCTATGCCCCAACCAATAATGCTGAAGAAGCTGAAGTTGAACAGTTCTATGAAGAGCTACAAGACCTTCTAGAACTAACAGCCAAAAAAGAAGTCCTTTTCATTATAGGGGACTGGAATGCAAAAATAGGAAGTCAAGAGATACCTGGAGTAACAGGCAAATTTGGCCTTGGAGTACAGAATGAAGCAGGGCAAAGGCTAAGAGTTTTGCCAAGAGAACGCACTGGTCATAGCAA